TATATATATATGAGCCAGAGCCTTAGAGTTGAACCATTTTTGTTAATAATTAAGTTTAAAGAAATTCTCCTCTCTTGTTTCACGAAGTATGTTTAGAACACAAAATGAGCTTCATAATTTCAGGAAATATTATATATTCTGTCTCTCTAGTTTATGTTTGAGATGCAAATTTAAATGATTCATTTCTGATGCTTGAAACAAAAGCAAGTAAATTATCTAATACAAGGACTAAAAACATAGCATATGCAGTTATATTTAAGGTACAGATTTTAGCACTACTTATATTTAGTACACCATCCCTTATTTTGTATATTCATGAGGAACAAAAAAGTTTACATTGTTTTTTTACAAACTCTACCATGCCAATAAATGTTGAGGACACTCACCTAAATATGGCTTTTAATAAAGTACATCTTTCCTAAACTGGAATATAGGATTTCTGTGTGAGATATCCATGAACTCAATTTAACTTACTAATAAACTATATTTTATTTGCAAATGAAAATGCATTAAACATGACATTGGGCAATGGGGTATTTGTAGTAATTACAGTTCAGTAAATCTATTTTAACATCATTTCACAATTAAACAAACAAAAAAATCCTTACCAAAATTCCCAACAAATTTTCCTACCTCTGCCCCCATAACATACAGATCTAGAAAATAAACAGGTCAACATAAAAAATCTGTCTTAAACATTGTTATTTGCCTTCTGTGAGCATTAAAGACTATTTGTCAGGTAAATGCTCTATTTTTAATCTCCAGTCTCAAATAAAAGCTGTCTATATCCCTTCAACTACATGTCATGTAGCTCTGTGTGCAGTGTGGCCACTTATGTATAGGAGGTACAAAGTAGACATTAAAGAGCCCCTGAAAGAAAAAAATAAATAAATTTAAAAAAAAAAAAAGAGCCCCTGAAAGAAAGGAGCTATTTTTCTACCTTTTCACATAATCATACATCCTGGCTAAAAATCTTTGCCTTTCTTTAGCAGACGAAATCAGGAAAAGAGTGAGCCCAAGAATGCTTTCATCTTCTTTGTGTATACCTCCTCATGGATACTTCCTTTGCCCCAGATCAGAAAAGTATCACATGTAAAAAACATTAAATTTTACCTCAAGCAAATTTCATGGCAGAATATAATATATCAAATATTGTTAACAAATACATTTGGATTTTCAATGTTTTAAGGTTCTTTGGAATAAACAAAATCACAAGGAAGAAACATCATCATATTTGTGTTGCATAGAAACTGTATAGAGGAATACACACACACACAGACACACACATACAAACTGAAAATAACATTCACCTTTGGACTGCAGAAATGGAATACAAAGGTTTATATATCCTTGGGAAATACTTGAAATTTTTATTATACACAATATTACTTTCAAAAATGAAACATTTTTAAAAACACAGTCAAATAAATGAAATACAAGTAAAATGAATAAAGCAAAAGGTAATCTGTATGATGATATTATAACCATATTTGTAAAGGTTACTGAATTTTCAAATTGTCAGTTGACAGACAAGTTTTTAAATCCCCATGTTCCATTTTAAGTGATAATTTCATTCTGTTATTTTGATATTTGCTTATGTTTAACAAGCCAAACATACTGACCAGGTGGCATCCAAATTAACATGTGGTTATGTATAAAAAAATCATATGAGATATCATACAGGTCTTGCTTAAACTTTAATAAAATGATAAAATGACAAATGAACATGATGAGAAACCTAAACTATTACATGTGTTATTGTAATTTGCAATATGTTTACTGTAGTTCCAGAGGAACTAATTATACTTCCATGAGGTTTAGCTTCATTTCACTTTGTCGGGTTTTGAAAGGCCAACAAATGTCAAGCTTTTGGGACTTGTTACATTTTGTCTTTCAAAATGAAATATAATTAGAAATTATTTTGGACTTAAAAATGCAACAAACATCAAACTTTTAGGACATATAGTTTTGTCCTTAAACTTTTTAGTAAAAAATTATTTTGTATCTTGGGAGGGAATCACCAATACATTTTTAAAATAATGACCTGTATTATCAAACTCCGAAAACATCTTTCCTCACTCATAATATTAAAACCATGAAAATATTTTCACTACAATGAATATTGTATTTTACATATTACTTCTAAATATTGGGAGATTTTGTGCCTGATGATAAATGTTTATTTTGTAATTGGAAAACAGTAGAGTTATCACCCTGAGAGCCCCTCTGGGCAGGACACTACATGAAGTCTCTCCTCAAAAGTCCTGGAACAAAGAATTTCTTAAACAAATCTACCAACAACTGCAACCAACCCCAAATACTGTGGCTGCACCATAGTTTAAAAGAATTTATTAAGTGAAACTCACCTAATTTACTAAATATTCAATTCTGAATATAGCTAACCTATTGTCTATTGGATTGTATTTTAAATGCTATAACAGAGTGCCAAAATTAGAAGAAACCTCATAGCAACACCTTTTGTTAAAGTCAAAAACATTTCCAATTTTTCTGATAGTAAACTCAGCTTGTTCCTGAATTGTTCAGACTTGATAAATTTCAATTTCGACATCTCACTGGTGATAATAATGACAAGTGATGGAAAGGCAAAGATTGAGCAAGGCTCCTTTGAAGGATCTTCCCCTCATAGTGTTTGTATTTTCTAGCCAAATGTAAAAATGGCAAGCTCCTCCAAATAATGATACTTTCACTCACTTTTCCCTAATGTTCTAGAAGTTAGAGCCTACTGATGGTTAAGGTAAGTGCCTTTCCAGAAATATCTGGCCATTATCTAAGTTCTAGATGTGAGAGACGGAGTGAGGGAAGCAGCATGTATTACATGTGCCAAAGTTATCACAGATCTTTCCAGATGTTTTCTCTGAGTGCAAAACCCATTCTCTCAAAATTCCTGGAGATCATATAATCTCTCTGAATTTTGAAATGAGAGATTTTCCACAATACTCAGATTTTTAAAAAAATATTGCATGAAATTCTTTTTATTTCCCTGTACAGTATGTAAAACTGGTAGCTTACAATAAGAAATATTTCTCACAATAAAGTAATCCCTATCTTCTTTATAGACATTAATTTTGCATTACTTCAAGATATGTTAGAAAATGAAAAGATGCAAGATCATCAGTATGTTGAAGGGTTAAATGAGCTAATTTGTTTTAGAGCAGTGATTTCTGTGCCAGGAGTGTGACCACAGGTTAAATAAAAGTGCCTGACTGCCTTTTCCTGAGAAATTCCCTATTCAGGGCTCAAGAGCAGTAAATTGCTTAGCGGTTCTCTGGGGAATCAGCTGGCATTCCCGGGTCTCTGCAAACTGGACAGCAGGTTCCTTTCACCAATTCAAGACTGGGACATGGAGCCGTAGGACAAGTCTTCACCATACAGGTGACCTGGCCACTCTGAAAGGCAACATTCAAAGATTATTCCCATGTTTCTTACAGTGGAATTACCTTTTTAAAAGTTTCTTATAATATGTAATCTGATTGGCTGACTATCTCAATATAATAAAAATTACCCATGGTATGAGCTAATTTATACATGTAGTTCTATCAATGCTTTATTTCTACATTTGCATCACGTAAAAGCAAGGCTGGAAGTACTGGCCTATAAAATGTTACCTCCCAAACCGGAGGGCCGGAGGTGTGGAGAGAGGCAGGAGTGATTGGTATCAGCTCTGTCCAAAAAACAAACTAAATAAAGACTGAGCTTTTTTCTTTTGGTGGGTACCATGATAACATTTTTTAATATTTACCAAATGCTTTCAGGCAACTTTTGTAGTGAGCCTGACTGGAGAATAAGGAGATGAATTCAAGCCCCATTTCTGCCTCTATTTGTGTAATCTTGGGCAAAGCTCATTAAACATCCTGAGTGTCAGCTCTCTCAGTTATTAGTGAAAATGTGAAAAGCCCCATGGTATTTGGCAAGTGTTCATGAGATAGTGGCATATTTATATCAATAATCAGAAACCTCAAAATCTCACATCAATATCTTGACCTTAAAAAATATGCCTAGAATCTATTCACAAAAAGAACATTTTTCTCTCTTGAATTTTTCAGGTTTGTCTCAACTGGCAGGCCAGCAGAAGTAAAACAGGAGGATGAAGGTGGAAAAACTTCTAGCAACACATACCTTACACATACAGCTAATGCAGTCTTCTTTCATCCAGTGTTCATTGTCTTTTCTTCGAATCCCTTTATCATCTGTGCATCCCGCCTGCCTGAGGCGTGCCTCCAGCTTGTTTATCTAAAAAAGGAGGTGAAGGAAAGGAATGTGGGAATTGAAATAGTACCAACAAAGCAGATAACTAACATAGTTTGATGAAATGCTCTATTCTGTAAGCACACACCTAGAGGGCAAAAGAAACTTCAAAGCCAACATAATTTTTCTTAACTTTTTTTACCCAAAACTTAATGAATCCAAGTCATCCAGTGTCTAATCTAATAAATAGTTCCCTATATGTGACAAAATATTGAATATGGATCTAATATCTGAAACAGGTAAGTTTTAAAAGAATGGAATTAAAATCAAATGAGTAGAGTTATATATTTTTAAAAATCTTAATAGATATTAACATTAATTCAACAAACCTATATTTTACTTAATCTTTGTACTTAGGTTTTCATAAACAGCATTCCCTAAACAAATGTTTATTAGACTTCAAAGATAAAGCAAGCAATCCAAGGTCTCAAGGAGCTTAAAACTTAGTGGAATGACAGATCAATAAATCACAGTGTTAAGCCAATTAGATAATGACGGTATATCAGAAGCAGAAGGAGAGCAGAAGACAAGTTTCTCTTGGTTCTGCCTCAGGAAGTAAGGGAGGCCTCACATGGGAAAAAGCATTTGAACTGTAAGTAGACATAACAAAATCATTCAGAAGAACAAGCAGGGGAAAAGGCATTTCAGACAAAAGGGAAAAAGTTTGGCCAAAGCATGGGCACCACAAACAGGTCAATATCTCAGGGACATAAACTGCTGTGGAGGGTAAAAGGCACAGGGGGAGTGTTGGTGGGAATCAAGGCAGTAAAGAAAATTAGGACCTTAACAGTCTTATAAATTCATTTAGATACTATAGTCTCTAGACAATGGCGAAAAAATTGCAGTGATCACATAATGACAATATGAAGACAGACTAGTGAAAGCAGAGAAACTTCAAGAAGATCCACATGGGCTCAGCTGAGAAAGGAAGAAGTGAGAGTCAGGAAGAGCCATTGAGCAGGTAGAGGTGTTTGGTTGGATTGAGGGTAGGGGAGAAAGAAGAATGCAAAATGACTGCAAAGTTCCAGGTTTCATAAGGTGCATGAAGGATGGTGACGTTCAGTAAGATACTTTCTAGAGAATGCATTATAAAAGAGTAATGATCCATAGAGAAATTAAAGATACTGAATTGAGAGGAATTTTAGAAAGGATGAAAATATGCAGTTTTACAAAAGAAAAGGCTAAGTCCAAGAGCACTGAATGACTTATGAAAGTTGCAGCTGCAATGCTATGGGCTGAACCATATCCCCTGAAAGTCATATGTTGAGGCTCCAACCCCCAATACCTCAGAATGTGACTGTGTTTGGAGATAAAGTCCTTAAAGAAGTAATTAACTTAAAATGTGGTCATAGAGATGGGACCTAATCCAGTGTGACTGTGTCCTTATGAGAAGTGGAGATTGGAGACCAGACACAGTGGGAAGTCTGTGTGAAGATATGAACCAAGGAGAGAGACCTCAGGAGAAACCAACCCTGTCAACACCTTGATCCAGGAATTCCAGCTTCCAGAACTGTGAGAAATTAATTTCTGTTGTAAAGCCACCTAGCCTGTGGTATTTGTTATAGCTATGCTAGCAAATGAATTTATGCATCATTAGGACTAGATCGCATATTTTCAAAAGAAATTTCTAATGTATATCTAAGAATCATTATGCTTTTATCCTCTAGTGAATGTTCCTTTCAGATTCTCTGAACTCTGTTATTTGGTTGGAAATGATAAAATAATTTCAAATACTTGACCATGATTACTTGTATGTGACAGAAATTACTGTGCCCAAGAAAATTTTGGAGACAAACAATAGACCAGACTGGATGCCTTAAAGACCATAAAAGCAATGATTTATTTTTAAATGGTTACTGAGCACCTGCTCTTTGTCACCTAGTCCTAGGGGAGACTACAATGATAAATACTCCTGGGTTTCTATTCTTAAGGGGTCTGCAATGTGGTAGGGAAGAGTGAATTTCTGCAAAAAATAAATATGATACAAGTCCAAATGTTGTGTGCTAAAAGAGTATATACACAATGAGATGGGATTTCAAGGAAAAACGGTTATTTTTTTATTTTTTATTATGTTAATCACCATACATTACATCATTAGTTTTTGATGTAGTGTTCCATGATTCATTGTTTGCGTATAACACCCAGTGCTCCATTCAGTACATGCCCTCTTTAACACAGATTATTTTTAGAAAAATGAAGCAGAAAATGGAATAATCAGGGAAGAATTTACAATTTAAATAGAACTTGTGTTAGGCCTTGAATAAAGATAGCATTTGGTCATGGTAGTATTTGTAGTACATTTCAGCTGGAGGGAAAATGTGTGAAGGAAGCTAAAAAGAGGGAAGGGTGAACAGTGAGTATGTAAGTTGGGCAAAAACAAGGGGCACCTGGGTGGCTTAGTCGGTTAAGAGTCTGCCTTCAGCTTAGGTCATGATCCCAGGGTCCTGGGATTGAGCCCCGCTTTGGGCTTCCTGCTCAGCAGGGAGCTTGTTTCTCCCTCTCCAGCTCCCCCTGCTTGTGCTTTCTCTCTCTGTGACAAAATAAATAAAATCTTTAAAAAAAAGAACATGAAACATGTGAAAAGGTTATTTGGAAATTAGATAAAAAGATGGGCTAGATAAGATACCTAGGAATAAATCTAACCAAAGAGGAAAAGGATCTGTACTCAGAAAACTATAGAATACTCATGAAAGAAATTGAGGAAGAGACAAAGAAATAGAAAATGTTCCATGAAAGAATAAACATTGTTAAAATGTCTATGCTACCCAGAGCAATCTATACCTTCAATGCCATCCTGATCAAAATTCCAATGACATTTTTCAAAGTGCTGGAACAAATAATCCTAAAATTTGTATGGAA